GCCGCGGTGCCCGCGCCGCCGCGCAGGCGAGGCGGCCAGGCGTGAGGCGCCCACCGTTCACCAAAGGAGAACCCCACCGGGCTGCACCCGCTTTGTGCGACCGGGCTGCACGAGGTCGCCGACGCCGTCCTCGGGGGCGCCGCCAGCGCCCGGAGGTGTGCCGGCAGGCGACGCGCCAGAGGCCACACAGGAGCCGCGGAGGGTGGCCGCGGGTGGCGCGTCCGCCGCGGACGCAGGCCCGCCGGGCTGCAGCGAGGCGCTGCTGCTCAGGCCGCCCCCCGGCCGCGCAGGCCGCCCCGCCGAGGATGAGATCCTGAGCGAAGTCGCGCAGCAAGACTTCGCGATCTCGAAGAAGGAAAGACGCCAGAAACATGAACTTTTGGCGCTCCGCGCGGATTTCTTGGATCTGCGCTGGGGCCCCCTGGCGGCTCCTTCCAGCGCCGCCCCTGGCGCGCTCCGCGCGCCACGCCACGGAGGGGGTTCTAGCCCAGATCCAAGAAATCCGCGCTCACCTCCAACAGTTTATGTTTATGCCGTTTTTCTTCCTCTGCGATCGACCGCAACAGAAGCACTTGCCATTGTAGTTCGGCGCTTGTACTGCGCGATCGCGTGGTAGATGCGGTCCACCAGCGCGCTCTTCTGAGCCGCTGCTTTCTCCACGCCACTCCGCTTGGCAGCCTTGGCCACTGTGCAGCCGCGCTCAGTGAGGTTGACCAGCACGAGGAGCGACCGGGCGAGCGCTTTGACATTGTCGAGGGGGGAATAGGCCTTCTCCAGCAGGAGATTCTTCATGCCGTCCCAAGACACCCGGTGCTTGATGTGGCACAGCTTCTTCCAGGACATTTTCGCTGCGTGGCGAGCCGTGGAGGCCCGCTTCAGATCTGCGCGCTCTGCCTTGCACAGGTGGGCAGCCGACGTGGCCAACTGCTTGCGAGATTAGGGGTTTGCTCGGCCGCCTGCATCGTCCAAGACCCCTGGTCCAAGTTCACGACGAGGTCGCGCCAAGCCGCCGCACACTCCGCCACAGACAGGCGCAGTGTGGCCCTGTACGGGTAGAGGTGGTCCGCCCGCCGGTCGAATTCAGACAGCACCAATTTGCTCAACTCAGAAGTGTTGTCCTTCAGCGCCGCGGCCACAGCTGGGACTGCCTGCGCGTTGACTACTAAACTTGCGACCGCCGTGATCGCCAAATCTCCAAGCTGTCCTTGTTCACAGGTCTTGCGGATTTCGGTTGTGATGGCAGCCAAAATAGAGCCATTCGGCGGCGGACTGCGTGCCAATTTGGGCGCAGACAGAGGAAACGCCAGTAAGCTGCAAGAATTTTGACTTGAGTCGTCGTGGAAAGATGCGAGCTGAGTTGTCGTTGTCGACGGAGCATCCATACTCGACACCACAACTCCTGCACAGACAAGTCACCGTTTCTGTCTTGATACCCAGGCGCTGATTTTCTGTATATCTGTTCCGCTTGCGCCTGTTCGGCAGCCACTTCTGCAGCAAGAGGTAAGGCAAGTCAGTCCGTGGACCGCTGGACACGGCAGGCCTTGTGTGGACCTTGAACAGATCATATCTGGCAGGCCATGGCCGCACCCAGCGACAGGGCAGCAGGAGACCTTGGCTGAACCAAGGGGCCTCAGGGTCGTCTGGACACCTCCGCAGAGAACAGCCGTGGGCGGGCTCGGCAGTCGCAGCGCCGCGTTTTAAGAGTCAAGCGCTAGTTTCGGGAACTCACCGGGTGGATGTGCCCATGCAGATTCGCCTGCAATATTCGCGTCGAGAGCCGTCCGTTCGGAAGAGCGCCGCGACGGAGCCTTTGCTGTCAGGCCTGCACGATCGGCAAACAAATCAAACGTGGACGCCACGCCTGTCGGAGCGACGATGTCTTGAAGCGTAGACTCTCGGACACAGGCCGTGCGAAACGGATCGGACTTCCACCGGGATGAACAGCCCAAGTCGCGCGAACCAACCGATGTCAGCCGTTCTGTTGGCTACACCCCAGATGTGAACAGCAAGCGCCCAGCGCGATGCGCGCCGCTCTGCCTCTTCCAACTTCACGGCTTGTTTTTTTCCAGAGGCGGGAATGGCCCCGTAGCGAACGTTCGGGTATGTCCAAAACCGGTTTTAAAAATGATGACCCCCCCTTCCCCCCCCGGATCTCGACTGCCATGAATTCGCATTCGAATAACTATTTTCCCGGAAAGGGCACGGGCCCAGGGTTCTCTTTTAGTAGGTAAACCTGTCCCCCGGTGCCAACTTGAAGGAGGCCGGCGAATTTTTTCCCTGATAAATAACGAGGTCGAAGGAGGCCGGCGAATTAAAATTTGAGGATGTCTCGAGCGAAACGCTTGTTTTTGAAATCCCGATCGATAAATCACAGGGTGCGGGCCACTTTTTCGTGTGTTGAGGATGTCTCGAGCGAAACGCTTGCTCCGCAGAGTTTGCCGAGGATGTCTCGAGCGAAACGCTTGTTTTGCAGAGCCGACCGCGACGCGGAAAAGCGCCCCGCGCGAAGGAATTTCGATGATGTCTCGACTATTCCTTTGTTTTTGTACGATTTCCTGGAATTTTGGCAGGATGTCTCGAGCGAAATGCACGACCCCACCCTAGCACGACCATATCCCAGCACGACCACACCCCAGCACGACCAGACCCCAGCACGACCCCACCCCAGCACGACCCCACCCCAGCACGACCATACCCCAGCACGACCACACCCCAGCACGACCCGACCCCAGCACGACCCTACCCCAGCAAGACCACACCCCAGCACGACCACACCCCAGCACGAACTCACCACGCACGACCACCCCAGCACGACCACGCCCCAGCACGACCACCACGCGACCAGCACGACCACCCCCAGCACGACCACTCCCCACAGCACGACCACCCCCCAGCACGACCACCCCCAGCACGACCACACCCCAGCACGACCACTCCCCAGCACGACCACTACCCCAGCACGACCACACCCCAGCACGACCACACACCAGCACGACCCCACCCCAGCACGACCCCACCCCAGCCACCACGCCCCAGCACGACCACACCCCAGCACGACCACACCCCAGCACGACCACACCCCAGCACGACCACACCCCAACAGACCACACCCCACACGATCACACCCCACCACGACCACACCCCAGCACGACCCGATCGATGAATCACAGGGTGCGACCACCCCAGCACGACCACACCCCAGCACGACCCCACCCCAGCACGACCCCACCCCAGCACGACCACGCCCCAGCACGACCACACCCCAGCACGACCACACCCCAGCACGACCACACCCCAGCACGACCCCACCCCAGCACGAGCCCACCCAGCACGACCACACCCCAGCACGACACCCCAGCACGACCCCACCCCCACACCCCACCCAGCACGACCACACCCCAGCACGACCACACCCCAGAACGACCACACCCCAGCACGACCCCACCCAGCACGACCCCACCCCAGCACGACCACACCCCAGCACGACCACACCCCAGCAGGACCCCACCCCAGCACGACCACACCCCAGCACGACCCCCACAGCACGACCACACCCCAGCACGACCACGCCCCAGCACGACCACGCCCCAGCACGACCACGCCCCAGCACAACCACCCCCCAGCACGACCACCCCCCCAGCACGACCACACCCCAGCACGACCACCCCCCAGCACGACCACACCCCAGCACGACCACTCCCCAGCACGACCACACCGCCTTGGTTGAGTGGTTGCCTGTCGTCGTGGAATGTTTCGTGGGGTGTCTCGTGGAATGTTTCGCGGGGTGTCTCTGATGTTTCGGAGGTGTCTCGCGGAGTTTCGTGTGTCTCGTGGGATGTTTCGTGAGGTGTCTCGTGGGATGTTTCGTGAGGTGTTGCCCCGTTGGGTATCGTGAAAACGTGCCCATGCTCCACATGTCTATATCCCTTTCCGGGTTCGTGGGTCCATCATGTTTTATTTCTCGCCCCTGGAAATAATTCCACGGATGCCGATCGATACCGCTTGTATATACCTCGGTACCAGGGAGAATGCCGATGGGGATGTTCCCGTCTTCCGATCAGAGAATTTTTTTCATTGGGTTTTCGCCAGTGGGTTTTGGAGTTAAACATCGCCCCCGTTGTATAACATCTGTCAGCGGTATGCCGCCGCCGCGCGTTGGCGATTTGCATTTGTGCATTCAGTGTCGTATATCCACGCGGGAATGTTCCCGTCTTCCGATCAGAGAATGAATTTTTACTTTGAGTTTTCGCCATTGGATTTTGGAGTTCAAACTCGCTCCCGTTGTATAAAACCTATCAGCGGCATGCCGCCGCTGCGCGCGCGCGCGTTGGCGATAGGAAATTGTGCGTTTCGTGTCGCATATCCACATGAGGATGTTCCCGTCTTCCGATCAGAGAATGAATTTTTACATTGGGTTTTCGCCATTGGGTTTTGAAGTTCGACGTGGCTCCCGTTGTATAAAAAATCGATCAGCGGCATGCCGCCGCCGCCGCGCGCGCGCGCGGTGGCGATTGGCATTTGTGCATTCAGTGTCGTATATCCACATGGGGTTGTTCCCGTCTTCCGATCAGAGAATGATTTTTTACGTTGGGTTGCCGCCATTGGGTTTTGGAGTGCAACATCGCTCTCGGTTTATCAAATCTATCAGCGGCATGCCGCCGCCGCGCGCGCTTTGGCGATTGGCAAATTTGCATTCAGTGTCGCATATCCTCATGGGGATGTTCCCGTCTTCCGATCAGAGAATGAATTTTCCCGGAAAGGGCATAGGCCCAGGGTTCTCTTTTAGTTGGTTTACCCCCCGGTTTCGACGGGAGGTGGGCCGGCGAAATTATTTTTGCGATAAATTACGTGCGGGAAGAGGGCCGGCGAAACTATTTTTGAGGATGTCTCGAGCGAAACGCTTGTTTTTCAGAATTTGTTGAGGATGTCTCGAGCGAGACGCTGGTTTTGCAGAGTTGGGGATGTCTCGAGCGAAACGCTTGGTTTCAGAATTTGTTGAGGATGTCTCGAGCGACACGCTGGTTTTGCAGAGCCGACCGCGACACGGAAAAACGCCCCTCGCGCAGGAATTCTGAGGATGTCTCGCGCGTGCCGCGTCCCGCGCGCGGGTATTTGGATGTCTGGGGATTTTGGCAGGATGTCTCGAGCGACGCGCTTGTTTTTCATAATTTGTTGAGGATGTATCGAGCGAATCGATGGTTTTGCAAAATTGGACGATGTCTCGAGAGGTGGCCTTGTGGGGGGCCAGAATTCAAAGGATGTCCTAGGCGAAATGCTTGTTTTCACGTCCCGCTCGCAGGAATTCCGAGGATGTTTCGCGCGTGCAGCGTCCCGCGCGTAGGAATTCAGATGATTTTGACAGGATGTCTCGAGCGAAACGCTTGTCCCCAGCACGTTCCGTAGCGCGTCCCCTTGGCCTGTCCCGCGGTGCGTCCCCATGGCACGTCCCTTGGCACGTCGCTTGGCGCGTCCCTTGAGACGTTCTGCGTCGCGTCCTCCTGGCATGTTCCCCTGTCCATTAGCTCTGGGGCAGCTACTATGTGTTGAGGCAGCTCGAGCTTAAGATCCAGATCAGTTCGGTCAGGACTCGGATGCAAAGGAGGACTCGATCCACGAGGCTATAGAGCACAATCGCGCCATGGCACATCGCAATTCAGCAAGGCGCAGCACACCACTGATTTCGGCACGGTACATCAAGGTCGATACCTTCAGCATTGCAACTTGGCACGTTCCTTGGCACGTTCCGTGGGGCGTCCTTTGGCGAGTCCCCCTGGCACGTCGCGTGGCGCGTCCCCTGGCACATCCCGTGGCACATCCATTGGCACGTTCCGTAGCGCGTCCCCTCGGCACGTCCCGCGGTGCGACCCCATGGCACGTCCCCTGGCACGTCGCCTGGCGCATCCCTTGGGGCGCGTCCTCCTGGCATGTTCCCCTGTCCATTAGCTCTGGGGCAGCTACTATGTGTTCAGGCAGCTCGAGCTTAAGATCCAGATCGGTTCGGTCAGGACTCGGATGCAAAGGAGGACTCGATCCACGAGGCTATAGAGCACAGTCGCGCCATGCCACATCGCAATTCAGCACGGCGCAGCACAGCACAGCCCTCGGCAGGGTACATCAAGATCGATACCTTCAGTATTGCATTCGCCCGTCACCCAATCAGGTGTCTTTGAAAACGCTGCCATGTGTTACAGTTCTACATTCCTTTCCGGGTTCGTGGGTCGATCATGTTTACATTGGGTTTTCGCGTTTGGGTTTTGGAGTGCAACGTCGCTCCCGTTATATAAAGCCTATCAGCGGCATGCCGCCGCCGCGCGCTCGCTCGCTGGCGATTGGCATTTTTGCATCCAGTGTCGTATATCCACATGGGGACGTTCCCGTCTTCCGATCAGAGGATGATTTTTCCCGGAAAGGGCTCAGGCCCAGGGTTCTCTTTTAGTGGGTAAACCTGTCCCCCGGTGCCAACTTGAGGGAGGCCGGCGAATTTTTTCCCTGATAAATAACGAGGTCGAAGGAGGCCGGCGAATTAAAATTTGAGGATGTCTCGAGCGAAACGCTTGTTTTTGAAATCCCGATCGATAAATCACAGGGTGCGGGCCACTTTTTCGTGTGTTGAGGATGTCTCGAGCGAAACGCTTGCTCCGCAGAGTTTGCCGAGGATGTCTCGAGCGAAACGCTTGTTTTGCAGAGCCGACCGCGACGCGGAAAAGCGCCCCGCGCGAAGGAATTTCGATGATGTCTCGACTAATTCCTTTGTTTTTGTACGATTTCCTGGAATTTTGGCAGGATGTCTCGAGCGAAATGCACGACCCCACCCTAGCACGACCATACCCCAGCACGACCACACCCCAGCACGACCAGACCCCAGCACGACCCCACCCCAGCACGACCCCACCCCAGCACGACCATACCCCAGCACGACCACACCCCAGCACGACCCGACCCCAGCACGACCCTACCCCAGCAAGACCACACCCCAGCACGACCACACCCCAGCACGACCTCACCACAGCACGACCACACCCCAGCACGACCACGCCCCAGCACGACCACGCCCCAGCACGACCACGCCCCAGCACGACCACCCCCCAGCACGACCACCCCCAGCACGACCCACCCCCAGCACGACCACCCCCCAGCACACCACACCCCAGCACGACCACTCCCCAGCACGACACACCCCAGCACGACCACGCAGATGTCTCGAGCGAAATGCACGACCCCACCCTAGCACGACATACCCCAGCACGACCACACCCCAGCACGACCAGACCCCAGCACGACCCCACCCCAGCACGACCCCACCCCAGCACGACCATACCCCAGCACGACCACACCCCAGCACGACCCGACCCCAGCACGACCCTACCCCAGCAAGACCACACCCCAGCACGACCACACCCCAGCACGACCGACCACGCCCCAGCACGACCACGCCCCAGCACGACCACGCCCCAGCACGACCACGCCCCAGCACGACCAGACCAGCACGACCACCCCAGCACGAGCACCCCCCCAGCACGACCACACCCCAGCACGACCACTCCCCAGCACGACCACACCCCAGCACGACCACACCCCAGCACGACCACACCCCAGCACGACCACACCCCAGCACGACCACACCCCAGCACGACCCGATCGATAAATCACAGGGTGCGGAGCACCCCAGCACGAACCCACCCCAGCACGACCCCACCCCAGCACGACCCCACCCCAGCACGACCACGCCCCAGCATGACCACACCCCAGCACGACCACACCCCAGCACGACCACTCCCCAGCACGACCCCACCCCAGCACGACCCCACCCTAGCACGACCACACCCCAGCACGACCACACCCCAGCACGACCCCACCCCAGCACGATCACACCCCAGCACGACCCCACCCCAGCAAGACCACACCCCAGCACGACCGCACCCCAGCACGACCTTACCACAGCACGACCACACCCCAGCACGACCACGCCCCAGCACGACCACGCCCCAGCACGACCACGCCCCAGCACGACCACGCCCCAGCACGACCACGCCCCAGCACGACCACGCCCCAGCACACACCCCCAGCACGACCACCCCCCCAGCACGACCACCCCCCAGCACGACCACCCCCCAGCACGACCACACCCCAGCACGACCACTCCCCAGCACGACCACACCGCCTTGGTTGAGTGGTTGCCTGTCGTCGTGGAATGTTTCGTGGGGTGTCTCGTGGAATGTTTCGCGGGGTGTCTCGTGAAATGTTTCGTGAGGTGTCTCGTGGAATGTTTCGTGAGGTGTCTCGTGGGCTGTTTCGTGAGGTGTCTCGTGGGATGTTTCGTGAGGTGTTGCCCAGTTGGGTATCATGAAAACGTGTCCATGCTCCACATGTCTATATCCCTTTCCGGGTTCGTGGGTCCATCATGTTTACATTGGGTTTTCGCCATTGGGTTTGGGAGATTGAACTTCGTCCCGTTGTATAAAATCGATCAGTGGCATGCCGCCGCCGCGCGCGCGCGACATTTCGTCCCGTTGTATAAAACCTATCAGCGGCATGCCGCCGCCGCGCGCTTGGCATTTTTCATTCAGTGTCGTATATCCACATTGGGATGTTCCCGTCTTCCGATCATAGTGAATTTTTACATGGGGTTTTCGCCATTGGGTTTTGGAGTTCAACATCGCGCCCGTTGTAAACAATTTACCAGCGGCGTGCCGCATTTGCGTATTCAGTGCCGCTTCGTAACCCAGACAAGGTGCTCGGTGCGCAGGGAGTGGTCCCTGATCGCAGTCTTTATCCACGCTGGGGTCTCAGGGCGTGGCAGGCGTGGCCTGACGCCAGAGGGGGTGCGCAGGAATCTGCCCCTCCGCGCAGGGCGCCAGGGCGGTCGCGGGGACGTCTCCAGCGATCCAGTTTGCCACGCTTCCCGTTTGTTTTCTATAGGCGCACTACAGCGCTGGGGGAAGCCATGTTGTAAACTGTCTCCCCATATATATATATATATATATACATAGATATATATATGTGTATATATTTAGTCATTAGTGCACCGCGCATGTATTGTCGGTGCGGAGCAGAACGCGCCCGCCGCCCAGGTCAGCCGCCTGGTCCTGCGCGCATTTGACGGTGACTCACAGCTGTGTGTAATTGACATCAAATTTTTCTGGCAGAACGTACCCACCCCGGGCGGGCGAGGCGGGCCGCTTGACGGACGCAACCACGCGGGAATGGCACGAATGCACGACCAGCCCTTCTCCCTCGCAGCGTCTCTCCACGAAACGAATCGAACCGACTGGAGCAAGCTGGCCCCCAGGTGCCATGCTCTGGCCCCAAGTGGAGCTGGCCTGCCAGACAATGTAACGTTCGCGTCGGCGGCGCTGCCAATTCCACCGACGCCCAATGCAAGCTTTTGCGACTGAGTTCAGACAGCTGCACTGTTGGGTTGGCCTGCGGCGACCAGCTCCCGCGCTGAGCACGCGCCCGCCGCTGTGAGGTCAGCCTGCGCAGGAGGCAGTCGACGCCGGGCTTGGGGATGCGGCTCGTCCATGTGGGAGGCCAGCCTCGCTGCTGATGTGAGCTCTTTTGCCCGGAGTGCGCGGGCGCTGTCACCAGCCAAAACGCCAGCGAACACAGCGAACAGTGCGTTTTGGTGCACATCTCCCCCGACGCACTAAAACCGACAGAACAGGATCGAACATCCATCCAATCCAACGCTGCCGCGTGGACAGCGGGCGAACGCCGGTCGGCTTGCTGTTCGCAGGGGCGCCGACGTCTGTGACGAAGTCTGCCTGCGGCTTTATGGAGATTGGTCCAAGCTTTTTCCAGCGTAGTGCCCACGCCGAACATATCGCCCACGAAATCGAGCAGCTCAGCTCCTCGCGTAGCGCGGAGCAAACGCAGGATTTTTTGATGTTGGAATGATTCAAGATTGGAGCAGGCGCCAAACCGAATGGAAGGAGGAGGGGGAGGAGGAGGAGGAGCAGGAGCATGAGCAGGAGGAGGAGGGGCAGGAGGGCGATGTTGGTAGGAAGGACGAGGCGGAGGGCGAGGTTGCGAGAGTTTCTGCGGCGCGTGTCTGTTGGCAGTGGCCGCCCTGGCCCTGGCCTGGGCGGCCGCCGGCGAGAGCTCCCTCCCGTCCCACCCGACGATGGCCCCCGACCGTCCCCTCCGCCACGCCTGAAATGGGTGCGGAAAGAATGGGTACAATGCCCAACAGCAGTTCCTGTTCATTTTGAACAGGGCCCGCTGTCCGCGCCGCCGCGGCCTGTGTCCATTCGAGGCAGAAGGCCGCCCGCCCAGCAGCGGCCGCTGTCGGTTTGGGACAACATTTGTTGTTAGGCACTGTACCCATTCTTTCCGCACCCATCTCGGGAGGAGGAGGAGGAGGAGGAGGAGGAGGAGGAGGAGGAGGAGGAGGAGGAGGAGGAGGAGGAGGAGGAACAAGAGCAAGGATGTGCAGCAGGTTGGTGGTGCGAGAAGCGGGCGGGCCACTGAAAGGGGGCAGCGCGGGCGGCCGTGCAGAGGGAGAGGGGGGAGGCTGGGCGAGGCGGCTCGCGGCTCTCGGCCCCCCGGCCGTTGCCGCCCGGCCGCCGGGGAGCGGCCTCGGTTGCCCCACGATGGCCGCTTCCCCGCGCGTGCCCCCACGGGCTCCCCGCCCCTCCTCGGGGCAGGCGGCCGCTCGGGGCGCGGTCGTCGTGCCGCCGATGGGCCAGGGGGGCGGGGGGGGGTCGTGAAGGGGGGGGGGGGGGGGGGCGCCCGCGGAGAGGTCGTGAGCTACAACTCCGCCATGAGCGCGTGCGAGCGCGGCGGCTTCTGGGAGCAGGCGCTGGAGCTGTTCGACGAGATGCAGTCCGAGGGCCACGAGGAGGGGGGCCCGCCGGACGGCGGCGGGGGGCGGGGGGCGGGGGGGCGCTTCTCACGTGGGGGGCGCCTCTCGTGTGTTCCCTGGACGTGAGTGGCGGGGAGGCAGGATGTTGGCGGTGGCTGCGTCCAGGGCGGCCCGTGTCCCGGGGGCAGGGCGCCGCGCCGGCGGGTGCTGCGGCCTGGGGGCTCGTGCCTTCTGGCTGGCGGCTGCGGGTGCAGGAGGGGTGAGAGGGGGAGGGGGGAGGAGGGAGGGTGGAGGGCAAGCGAGGTGCGCTCGCGTCATATCTGACGTCCTGCCCCTCCCTCCCATCCCTCACCATGGCGTAGAGATCCTCTCTATTCGCATAGTCGGATGGCGAGCAAGGCAATGTTCGCGAGAGGGTACGCGATGAATGGTAGAGCACGGCATGGCATGGCGTAGAAGAGCACGGCAGAGCGTAGCATGCCATAGCATGGCGTGGCATTGCGCAGTCAAGCATTGCATCACAAAGCATCGCAACGCGAAGCATTACAACACAACACCGCACATCATGTCATGGCATGGCGCCAGGTTCCAGAGGGTAAGTGAATCGTCTTCGAGAGGTCTGGGCCGGTCTGGAGTCGTGGCCCCATTTCTAGCTCCTTGGGCTCCCCGAAAAGCTCCACACAAGGCGGGGCTGATCGAGAGCACCCGCTGGCTCTGCTTTCAACATCGCCTTCTCAAAGCAGAAAGGGGGCTCCCGCTTGATACTTCCCGAAAGCGACGACGCCCCAAAGTGGGGGGTTTCTGCGGCCCAAACATCAACGATTCGACAGCGAATGCGAAGTCACTTCCAATAGTTTCTTCGGGGGGCCATTTTCTAGATTTTCCCGGAAAGGGCTTAGGCCCAGGGATCTCTTTTAGTGGGTTTACCCCCGGGTCTGACGGGAAGAGGGCCGGCGGATTTCTTTTGCGATAAACAACGGGTGGGAAGAGGGCCGGCGAATTACAATTTCAGGATGTCCCTAGCGAAACGCTTGTTTTTCAGAATTTGTTGAGGATGTCTCGAGCGAAACGCTTGTTTTGCGTTATAGCTTGTCCTCTCCTGGGGACCTGAATTCAGAGGATCTCTCAAGTGAAATGCTTGTTTTCACGTGCCCAGGTCTTGAGGATGTCTCGAGCGAGACGCTTGGTTTCACGCCTCCAGGTTGTCCAGACAGATGTCTAGCATGAGGATTTGTTGAGGATGTCTCGAACCAGAGGCTTGTTTTCACGTGTCCAGGTCGCCCGGGCGGATGTCTAGCATGAGGATGTGTCGAGAAAGTCTCGATCGAGACGCTTGTTTGCACGTGTCCAGGTGGCCCAGGCGGATGTCTAGCATGAGGATGTGCTGAGAACGTCTTGAGCGAAACGCGTGTTTTTACGTGTCCAGGTCGCCCAGGCACAGCACAGCCCTCGGCACGGTACATCAATATCGATACCCCTAGCATTGCAGTCTGGCATGTTGCCTGGCACGTTCCGCGGAGCGTCCCGTGGCGAGTCCCCCTGGCACGTCGCGCGGTGCACGTCCATCGGCACGTTCCGTAGCGCGTCCCCTCGGCACGTCCCGCGGTGCGTCCCGTGGCACGTCCCCTGGCACGTCGCCTGGCGCGTCCCTTGGGACGTTCCGCGACGCGTCCTCCTTGCATGTCCCCCTGTCCATTAGCTCTGGGGCAGCTACTATGTGCTGAGGCAGCTCGAGCTTAAGATCCAGATCAGTTCGGTCAGGACTCGGGTGCAAAGGAGGACTCGATCCACAACGCTATAGAGCACAATCGCGGCATGGCACATCGCAGTTCAGCACAGCGCAGCACAGCACAGGCCTCGGCACGGTACATCAAGATCGATACATTCAGCATTGCAACCTGGCACGTTCCGTGGCGCGTCCTGTGGAGAGTCCCCCTGGCACGTCGCGCGGCGCGTCTCCTGGCACGTCCATAGGCACGTCCATTGGCAGTTTCCGTAGCGCGTCCCCTCGGCACGTCCCGCGGTGCGTCTTCGTGGCACGTCCCTTGGCACGTCGCCTGGCGCGTCCCTTGGGACGTTCCGCGGCGCGTCCTCCTGGCATGTTCCCCTGTCCATTAGCTCTGGGGCAGCTACTATGTGCTGAGGCAGCTCGAGCTTAAGATCCAGATCAGTTCGGTCAGGACTCGGGTGCAAAGGAGGACTTGATCCACAATGCTATAGAGCACAATCGCGGCATGGCACATCGCAGTTCAGCATCAGCACTGCGCAGCACAGCACAGCCCTCGGCACGGTACATAAATATCGATACATTCAGCATTGCATTTGCCCGTCGCCCAATCAGGTGTCTGTGAAACGTTGCCATGCCTTACATTCCTCTATTCCTTTCCGGGTTCGTGGGTCGATCGTGTTTGGGGGACCGACAACGCCCGCGCTGCAGCGGGAGCACGATTTGGAACAACCAGAGGCGCAGAAATGGGGCCAGCGCTTCAGCGGGAGTAACAGTTTGAAACAACACCCAGGCGAAAACCCAACTCCCCGGAATCGTGTGTGTAAACAAACGGTACGCGGAGGGGGGCCAGATATTTTCCGGACGTCATCAGGGGAGAGGAGAGTAGTATTCATCTTGTGTAATTGTGGAGGGGGGATGAGGGAGGATCCGACGAAGGCGTCTATCCACCACCACCGTGCCAGGCCAGGGCCATTCTGGGCCCTAGGATGCTGCACAGACCCTCCTGGCCTCAGCCAGGAGGGCGTATACACCATGCCAGGACCAGGATGGCCCTGGCGTGGCACGTGGTGGTGTATAGATGCCTTCTGCTTAGAGGAGGTGGGAGGGAGGGGGATGGTGCAAGCCAGGTGTGCTAGCGTCACATCTGACGGCCTGCCCCTTCCTCACATCCCTGACCATGGCGTAGATATCCTACCTATTCGCTCAGTCGGATTTCGAGCAGGGCAATGATGCCAAGAGGGTACGCGATGGATGGAAAAGCATGGCGTAGAAGAGCACGGCAGAGCATAGCACGTCATAGCATGGCGTGGCATGGCGTAGTGAAGCATTGCATGACAAAGCAGAACCGCGCAACGCATGGCATCACAGCGGTGCACAACACAGCATCGCATTGGATGCCGTGGCATGGGACCGATGGAGGCCAGGACCGACGAAAATGAGACCAGCGCTGTGGCGGGAACACGTTTTCGAAGGACCAGAGCGCGGGAACGAGGCCAGGACCGAAAACGGGAATGAGGCCACCGCTGCAGCGGGAGCACGATTTGGAAGGACCGAAGCATTGGAACGAGGCCAGCGCTACAGCGACAGCGCTACTGGGAAGAACCGAACACGCCAGTGCTGCTGCTGCAACACGATTTGGAACAACCCGAGGCGTGGAAACGAGGCCAGCGTTTCAGCGGGAGCACGATTTTGAATGACCGAAGCGCGGAAATGAGGGCGGCGCTGCAGCGGGAGGACGATTTTGGAAGAACCAGACACGACCGGACTGAAAAAAACACAGGAAAAACCAAATAATGAAATTTTGTGTGTGGAAAACAATACGCGGAAAGGACGGGGCACTCTCAGGACAGAGTCAGGGGAGAGAGGAGAATCGTATTCATTTTGTGTAATTGTGGAGGGAGGAGGCGGTTGGGGGTCGGGGTCTTTGTGCGTAAGTGAGAACACTAGCGATGCGAGTCGAACACGGAACCACGAACGCTTGCGAGCGAGCTTTTCGGTCTTGCTCAAAGCCTTCGGCTATCTGTCTGACTTGATCCGGTTTAAATACTCGCTTCGATTCGCGCTTGGGGTCTCGAGACAACATTGGCCAAGGTTCCTGATCATACTACACGCATGAACTTCACAGCTCGCACACAATCACAGTTTCTAATCTCGGTGCAGACGTATTCGCAGCCCCCCGCTATGTGCAACTTAACCACCTCAGCCACTCGCTGTCCAGCCACTCGCTCCGAGTGACTTGCGAGGCTGAGCTGCAACAGGCCTTACGCCTCTTGCTGCAATCCTCGATGGCGTGGGTGCCGGCGAAGACTTTCACTGTGGGGGAGCAGGGGGGGGGAGGAGGAGGTGTCTCCTTTCTCCTCAGACCCTGCTATTTGGCCAGCTCCGTCTCGGCGTCCATCGCGTCGATCGTGGCGCTCTGACCAGCGTGCGCCTGATCTGGTGGGCCTCCGCCTCGACCTTCCTGACATGAGAACTGTCCGTCCGCGACACCCTTGCGGCCTGCGCCGCAATGCTTGCGAGATCGTCCGCTGCAGCGTTCCCCACCACGACGTGACCTGGCGCTCGACCTGCAGCAACATCATCCTCTGTAAGGTGTGAGCTGGTCCGCAGCACCACGAAGGACCCATGATCACGATCACCGAGTGCACCTCCGATGCGATGCCATACATCAGCGCCTTCACCTGATGGCCTCTCCACCGAAACTGGTACCAGCCATCAGAGACCATGCTATTGTCGGTGACAAGGTAGGTGAGCACTCTCGAATACACGATGGCAACCAGCATGCCGAAGCGCTCGCCTATCGGTACACTCTGCCATGCACCCAGAAGGCTGCCCGTGACACTGGACTCCAGGGCAAACGGTTCGAAAGAGGTCTGACTTGAGCGATTGCCACTCCGACTCTCCTGAAACCTGCGTCCGCCGACGCCGGGCCGCCAATGGGATCCGCAACCAACCACAGTGGTCTGGTGGCCGTCCAGTGACCGAATGACATGTGATGTGCGCTTCTGGCAACCCTGCCTGGTACTTGCCATTCTTCATGCTCTGCTGGTGCCGGCACGCACCTCCGTCCATTGTCAGGAGCGAAAGAAGGACGTACATGTACATGAATCCGCGCTAGTTTCGAAAGCAGCATTGCACAAATGTTCATATAACGCGGCTGGTCTCGCCGCGAATCGAGGGGCCGTGTTCATGTACATAGCTGGGCGCGTACGTCCTTTGTGGGCTCCCTACATTGAGAAGAAGGGATCATTCCCCGCTGCCAGAAGCACTGCTCACTCTGGTGCCGAGAGATCGCCCGCCCGAGGAGGTCCTGCGGTCGAGCATGCGCGGGAGGCCCTTCGTGCTTGCTACGCTTTTGCCCTCGACGAAGCCTGCTCTCATTCTCCTCCAAAGGCACCTTAGGCACTTGTTGGACGTGAGTCCAGACTTGCCCCCAAGCACTGTCTACCTTCTGACTCTGGGCCAGCTCCCACTTGTTGCATGCACGCTGAGGACCTCAGCCATGCGGCTGCCGTGGGGCATGCTCGAAAGCTGTTGGTACAGTTTGCGGAGAGACATCGTATTTGCACAGTGCCCCAGGCCAGAACCGCAGAAATGCAGCGGCGCCTCTGACGACAACCAGCCTTTGATTGAAACTTGAACATATTGAACTACACCTCTGAGTGCATCTACATCGAAGTGTCCTGTCCAGGCCGTATTTGGAAACTGCCACTCGATGGCATCCCCGTCGGCTGAGGGCGGCATCGCCAAGCAGATGGTCGACTTGGGATCCCACAAATTGTCGAGCAGCAGTGCCACCGTAGCCGAAGGGGCCTCTAATGTGACGAGAGCGCTGGGATGGAGTCACGCTTCTCATGTGCTGCCATACCGCTGGCCATGCTGCCGGGATGCCCTCCCTCAACTGTGGCTCCTGCTGCCAAGCTCTGAACCACTTCTTGATGCACTCCTCGGGCATGCCGAGCGCAGGGTCGCTTGGCGCCTTTAGGGCGATGAGAGATGTTAAATTCGTTGTTTAGCCGATCGGCGCGGGCCCTCGCCCCCTCCCCCCTCCCCTCCCCGTGGAGTAGATCTTGGCTGTCTTTGGCGCCTTTTGGACGCCAGTGGAGTCTCTCCTATCGGACGCGCTGGTGCAAACAGACGCATGAAGCAGAGGTCCGGAGCCAGACAGTCCCCTCCCCCCCCCCCTTCCGCCCAATGTCGAGACACCGAATAAGAAGACGCTCGCCACGCAGCTCCAGGCCTCCGCCCGTACGTCCCAGCTCCCCGCCGCGCCGAGCGGGCCGCGTCCGCCGAGATCTGCGCCCGGGCCCCTCAGCGAGCCCGTGCAGACCTGGTGGTGCCGGTCGTTTTCCCCTACCCCTCGTGCAGGAGAGCGCCCCCTCTCGCGAGCTCTCGCGCGTGGGACTGGGGGGCGGGCGGCAGAGGGAGAGGGAATTGGGGGACGAGGAGCAGGAGGAGGAGGAGGAGGAGGAGGAGGAGGAGAAGGACTAGTGTAATCAAGCCCGAGAGTCATCTACGACGTCGCAAGACACCCTCCCTCCAGGCTCCCTCTTCGCAGGTCCCTGCAAGAATTCGTTTTCACTGCGGGCAGTGCCCCTTACAAAGGAAGCCGTTTGAGAAGCTTCAACCGTGCCAACACACATCCTAGGACTTCGGCGCCGCGAATTCACGTGACTGCTGCGTCCTGGCAGTCCTAAATCGTGCCAGATCATCATTTTTGGGACTCCGACACTGCGAATCAGCATGACGAATCAGCATGACTGTTGCGTCCTGGCAATCCTAAATCGTACCAGAACACAATTTCTAGGACTTCAACCCTACGGATCCTCGAAACTGTTGTAAATGTGGAAGACATTTGCGCGCGGCACTAAGTCGATAGCCGCATTTTGAAAAGGAGCTGCCCTCCATGTTTGAACATGCTGCAAACTTTTAGGATGAATGAACGCGGCGTTCAGACGAGAGCTACA